CTAGTAGTGATGGCCTCCAACCTACTAGCGATGGCCTCCAACCTAGTCACTTCTAGCTACTGGTAGGATATAGTGCGCGTGGCCTTGCCTCAGAATTCATCTTTCATGCGTACTTGTGCGTGTAGCAGTGTAGCAGCAGCATAGCAGTGCATGCCTGTGACACTGATCTGTAAAGGGCTTGTGGCACGAGTGTGGCACCTTGGTTGATGAGCTTCACAATGCTGCGATCATGATCATGGTTGATCATTTCACACGGTTCCATGGAGGCTGTCATACGACATGTTGAAATGCTCCTTTGTTGATTCATTTAGGAACGTTTGCGAGACTCTTACCTGCATCTCTTTTTCGGACTTTCTTTCGAGCAGTTCTCTTCTTCAGACTTCTTCATGTGGAAAACAACGTGCCCTGTTAGCTGAAAAAGTCAACAAGAAAGAACATGTGCGGAGATTAGAAAGATGGCAAAAAATATCAAATCATTACTGCGAGCATGGGCTATCCTGCGTCCGTTGCTAGAAGCTAACTTAGCCTAGTAGCTTACCTCCCCTACTTAATTAAGTATGCGCGTGCAAAACACATAAAAAATACAACGACAAAGGAAACACATGAAAATGCAAAAAACAAACAATTAAAGCAACAAAGTCTTCAACTTCTTCTTGTCGTCTTCTCGTCCTGGGCTCCACATCACGTCTCAATTGCTCACGTGCCTCGAAAACAAAGAAACATGAGCTTCTAATGATGGCCTCCAACCTACGAGCGCTGGCCTCCAACCTATTGAGTGATGGCCTCCAACCTGCTAGCGATGGCCTCCAACTTACGAGCCATGGCCTCCAACGGCCTCCAACCTGCTAGCGATGGCCTCCAACCTGCTAGCGATGGCCTCCAACCAGGATGGCCTCCAACCTGCTAGCGATGGCCTCCAACCTACTAGGGATGGCCTCCAACCTACTATCAATAGCCTCCAACCTAATAGGGGGGCCTGATACATGATTTTGAACATCGAAAACCAAAGGAAAGGGCGCTCCAGAAGAGAATGTCACAGTCATGACCAAGCTTTATGAACTCAGGTAGCACGCGCATATCTTTTGTGACTAGTTCTGGCAACTCCAAGGTGAATTAGCAGTGTGAAGGATACGGAGCAAGAATATGGACAGTTCAACCCACGGCCACCCTCAAGCCACTATGCTAGATTTTTTGCACCTAAAACCCGCCCATGTTTTGATGTAGGAACAAGAACGCTACTAGTAGCAAAGGGCATCGCTACTAGGAGCAAGGGCCTTACTAGTAACAAGAAGCCAGTAGAAACAATATATAAATTAGAATTAAATTAACATTAGTAGCAAAGGAGGCTAGATTTGCACCTAAAACTCGCCCATGTTTTGATGTAGCAATCAATTGAAGCAACAAGGTACTTTCGCATATACGATCATCGAGTCTTCCGATACTTTAGAAGTTTCAGGGCATTGTCCAGGGAGGGTTGGAGGCCATCGCTATCTGACTGGTGCCATGAAGGCATTCCACATCGCACGATGCGGGTTGCAAGAGTGAGGTGAAGGGAACACCTTTGGCAATTTGATGCTACACGACCCTTGGGCAAAACAGCACTTACCTGCTGTTCTCTTGTGATGAATACCGAATACCCCTCTGAACCAAACGAAAAAGGAAGGACGGAACCACTTTTCACTTCTTCACGACCTTCCCATAGCAAGGGCATCGCTACGTTCGGGGCTCCTGGCCTTACTAGGAACAAGAAGCTATTAGGAACAAGTGCCACGCTAGTAGTAACAGGTGCCTTACTAGTAGTAACAAGAACGCTGCTAGCCCATTTTGCAGCCGAATCCTTCCCGACAAGCTGTACCTGGCGCTAAAAGGCTTCAACAGGCCAAGCCTTCGATTGTTGAGGCCTTGTGATGATTGTTTTTCCTCCTCGACGTGTTGACACGCGCTTCGTCTTGAGCTCTTTGTGCTTCTTCACCCGGCAAAGTTCAGCTTCACTCCGTACCTCAGCTTTCACACGCCCTCATGACCCCACCATCTTGGCGGCTTCCTGATCTGGCTGTCAGATCTGTATGTCTGCATGTTGTTTGCAAGCGGGCCGTCGGCCGTCCGTTTAGAGACGATCCGCTTCTAGATTTCAACACTCTTAGATTGGAGGCCATCGCTCTTATGTTCCTTTTGGCATTAGGTTGGGCCGGCGGGGATCGCTCGAAGTACAGCGTAATACATTTTCTTTTCAACATTTTCTTGCGGTTGCAGTGGGAACCAACTTTTCAGGAGAGGAATCTGTATTTTACAGGATCAGCTCTAATAGTACTAACTACCTAGCTAACCCTGCTAGTCCGGTAAGCGCTACCTTTTGCTCTACCTTGAGAGTCAACGCTACGGGGTCCATGGGGATGAGGTGAATTTCAACACCCCCCTTTACAAGGAGCTACCCGTAGGGAAAATCTCGGGGTGGATCAAATTCTAGCGACGAAGGAATCATATTAGAAATCCCTCATCAAGCTCGTGCATGCACTATACAAAGAGAACGTAGCTACCCTAATGTACAGTTTTCGCCTCACTCGGCATGTGGTTAAACATGCTAGGCCCAGGTTAGTGTTAAGCATTGATTAAAAGTTCACTCTCCGACTATGGCAATCCTGTTATGGATGCATTGGGAAGTGAGACAATGAAGTGAAACATCATCTCACAGCGCGTCAGAAGGTGATCTTTATCTCAACACTCATAAGCTGCAAGGCATACCATTTATGGTAGCTATTCAACATCTGCTTAAAGAAATTGTATTCCAAAACGCTCCGTCTCGTCATGCCATCCCTGCCTCAACCACTCCCACAATTCCATGTGATTGGGCCAATAGTTCTCGCCCCATGGGTCATCGCGTTGCCATTGTACTCCAGGAAAATCAAAGGGTTCCAATGGTCGATCAATAGTTCCACGAATGCTGGAAGTCGGCGGTCCAGTTAAGGGTGCATTATGTGACGATGATGCCGAAGCGGATGAAGTACCGGGTGGCAATGGCGGCGGTGGCACGTTTTGTACATTCCATTGCTGTGGAGCATAAGGTCCTCCTCGAACACTCACCTGCTGCTTATCCTTGCCCTTTCCTTTTACGGAAGGTTGCAACCGACTGTAAAGGTCTGTAAGCGGCGGCGGCTTCGGCGTGAGATTGAAATCTGTCGGCCTTGTATGTACCGGAATGCCACTGGCTGTATTGGGTGGTACTTTCGGTGGAGGAACCTTTGGAGGAGGCACCTTTGGTGGTGGGACCTTCGGAGGTGAAGGTTTTGCTGGACGTGGCTTGGAGATTGGTGAAAGGCCAGTTGCAGGTGGGTTGTTGGGTGCTGGTAACGGTGGCGGTGAAGTTGGGGGACCCAAGAGGTCCTTGGGGATGTTGCCACGTTTAGGTGGAAGGACACGGCTCTGGGAAATTGCTCGGGCGACAGAACCACGCGGCGTCCCTTTTGCGGGAGCGGCTGAGCCTGCTGCCGAAGAACTGCCTTGGCCTTTGCCCTTTCCGGAAACATCTCTCCGTTCACCGACATCCTGTTTAGAGGAGTCACCCTTTCCTGAAACTTGTCCTTGAGCAGTAGGTGCATTCATACTGAATACCGACGAGGTATGCGTCCCTGTTACGGGAGCTGGCGGCTGAGGCACGCCTGGCGGTGGGGTCCGGTTGTCAACCCAAGTTGCAATACGACCAGATTGATCTCGGTCTTCTCTCCTCCTCCACTGCAGCCTCGGTCGTTTGTCTGCATCTCCAATAGTCTCCATGTACATCTGCGATCGCTTCCGCGTCAACGGGGGCCTTGTTACAGGTCCTTGAGGAGATGGGGATCCACGCTGTCCAAACTCCAACAAAAGTTCTTCCAACCTTCTGACTTCGTCAGATGACATGTCCTGGCCACAATCGGCAAACTTGGGATAAGGCGTGGCCATGCGCTGTTCGATGTTCATGAAGCCCATCTGTGAAACTGGCTGTCCACGATCGCGTCCCTGCATATTTGCAGACTGTTGCGCGTTTCTCTGATATTGAATGTTTGCATAACTTTCATTCTGCTCTGCAAACTCACTCAAAATCTTGTAAATGCCTGTCGTGTCTCCACGAGGAATACGAATTGAATGAATATCGCCATAGACGTCCGTCGTGGGGATAAAGCCCTGGATCTTGATCTCATCTCGGCTATCGCCAATTACGGCGGCGTATTGTCGGAGTGACATAAACTCTCGGCGATAACTGATCAGAAAGTCCTCGTCGACGCCTTGCTTGAAACAGGTATGTAGGTTGTCAACACCGCATCGAATATACGCGAGCTTGGCGAGGTCAACCCTGTCCAGTCGATCCAAATCACTGACAACCGACTTCCCTTTTGATCTCTGCTTCGCTGATCTCGTGGGTGCCGGTAATTGCAGTGACGCAAACAAGTCTTCTTGCGCTGCATCAAACGCTGTGCATCCTTCTCCGGTTAAGGAGGTGGCGAAGACGTCGTCGCGGTTGAATCGATCGAATACATTCTCATACCCTGATTTCAATGCTTTGCGAAGGCGACTGCGAGCTGCAAGAATAATCTGACTGTCAACTGACGGGCTGCCACGAGCTGGAGGTCGTCCAGACTGTAGGTCCTGCGCGGCAATGCTGTCAAGCATGCTTGTTGCGGTCATGTTCTTGGGCACGCCCCCCTGCTCTTGTAGCACCTTTGCACGCCTCATCTGAAGTCGCATAAACTTTGAAATCGGTCCGTCTGTTGTATTGCTCTGAAATACTACTCCGCATCGATGACAAGATGCCATTCCTGCTAAGGAAAGTGTCGTACATTTATCGCAGCTGAAAGTTCGAAGATGTAGAAAATATCCACTCTCGATCTGTGGTACAGCTGTATTGCGATTTGCCTCCATCTCTTCCTTCTTTGCGGCACTGCTGCTAGCTGTGCGTTCTTCGGGAGTGGTGTCGCTTGTACCTTCCAAAATGGTGCGTACTTCCGACACTTTTCCCGGGACCAATGTCACATCATCTTGCGGAACACCGACCTCAATGTTCGAAGGATCCAATGCCTGCGGCCTCGAATAGAAAACTTCCGGCTCCGCATTTGCGCGGGCTCGAGTTGCAAATAGAATACACGTATTCGGAACGTGATGGCTGGTAATCACCGCGCCAGAATTTGTCAGGAAAAGATCAACTCCTGCTTCAATCACATCCGGTGTTGAAAAACAAATCTCCACTGGTCGGTCAGCACGAACACCAGATATCGCCTTCTGGTTTCCCAGAGGTTGTGTTGAAAAGAAGGAATTGCCTTTGCTTTTCGGCCCACCGGCTCCACCGCCGGGAATGAGCCCGCTCGCAATAATGGATCGCGCAGCACCTTCATGCGTTCGGTGGTAAAGCCGAGGTGGTATATCGCGGTTCCCGTGCGCTGTCAAACGAGCATTGTACCTGTGTACATGGTCAGGACGGCAGTAGATTAGTACTGCTAGCACTTCATTTGATCGCGTCTCGAGAACGTCGTCGGTGTGGCCTTGTCCACATCGGATCTTGACGGGGGCGGCGAAAAGTTCGAGCTGCTCGTTCACACGAGAGTCGTACACGCATTGAAATTCGAAACGATCTTTGTTGTCATAAATAGCCATCGAAATCAACTCAAAAACATTCATAGAATCAGCATAATCAGGGAATTTGGCCTTCGCCAAATCTAGTAGTTTGTAAATTGGCAAATAACACGCCGGATCATAAATACTGACGTCTGGGACGTGTCCACGAAGAAGACCAGAAATACCGCGACGAACATGATGTGGCCAGGAGCAGCACCACTCCCAAGACCCATGATGATAATCCTCATATACATAATAATACCTATGGCCAGTAACGTGGTACAGCACGTACTGCTTGGCGTCGCGGCCCAGCTCATCCTCGAGGAGTTGGATGTTGCCATTCCCGATGGCCTTGAGTAGGTGATCCGGGTAAGGATACCTTCCGAGAACCTCTTCAACCTCGACCTGCATATTTTTGTACTCGGGGTTAGGCTTCGTCTCGCGAACGAGAACGCCCTTCCCTTTTCCAGAAAATTTCAAGTCGGGGTTGTCGTTGTTCTCAGGTGCAAGAAAGCTCCCCGTTACGGGAGCGACCGAAGGGGTGCCTTGTCCCTGCCCTTTGCCTCGCAATCGCGGCAATGGTGGTCTCGGGTCAGATGAAGACGCTTGACCCTCTGCGGGTTGGTCCGCGTCCGTAGGGATCATAGGAACATCTCCGGTTGCACCTTCTTCAACAGTCGTTTCATCATCAGCCAAAACATCAAGAACCTCGGCCTCGATCTTCGCCATCTGTGGATCAGGTTCTGGTGCTGTCGGCAAGGCATTTACGCCTGCGATACCAGTATCAGGCCCAGGTACTTCGTCGGTTGCGCCTGTATAGCTATCGGGCATCTCAACGTCCGCGTCGGTTTCCTCAACCTTCGGCTCGACTTTTACGTCGGCTGTCGCAACGTCATCCATCGGCTCGTCCAATGCGGGCTGTTCCTCCGGTAGCTCAATAACAGGTACAACATTGACAAACTGCAACACATCTTGAGGATCTTCGCCTTCCAGGTTAACGGAGGCCTTGAGCTCTTCGACTGACACGTCATTCGTCTCAAAGGGGCTGTACGCTTGTACTTCCTCGACAGTAAACTGCCTGCTCTTCCCCAACGTCTGTTGCATTCGCGCGTTTCGCTGTTCAACGAATTCATTGATAAGTTGTAAATACGATTCCGGTATTTTGACTGTCGCTGAGGAATCCCAACTGTATTTAAATCTTCTCACCCTGTTGAGCGCGGCAATTCCCTCTCGGGAAGCTTCAACGACGTTCACATGGTACGACAATTTGACAATCGAGGTCACATAGTTCACGAAGCGATCGATGTTCTCCTGCGTCTTTCGCATATGCCATTGATCAACTTTATCGGATTGGTAAACCAGATTGTCAGGCTGAAATCGGTGTATGCCGAGACTCTCAATGATGTCGTTGATTTC